TACGTGTTAGGACGGATGAGGCCCAGTGTAAGACCTACACAATACATTCAAGACCCAATCGTTTATTTTCCTAAACCCAAGGTAAATAACTCTAGGATGTGAGCCAGTAAGCAGCAAAAGTACAACGGGATCATTTTTTAGAAGGGAAACCACATGTCTAACATCAGACCTTTCAAATCAATTGCACCCGACATTAGATTTGCCTGATTTAAATGTGTATATACATGCACACTACCCACTGGAAAGATGAAGATATTTCATTTCTGTCTCTAAATATAAATACACCAATATAAAGAGGAGGGAGAAATGAAGACAAAAAGTAAAAACAAGAAAATGTATCATGGCACCGGGGGAATGCAGAACGTATGCATTTTGCTTCTCCGACGCTGGTTTACACTGAATGACCAGGGCTGAAATTCTTCAACTTCTAACTATAGACTGCTGCAGGGCTGGAGCCCAATAATGTGCAAACAAAGGGAGAATCCATGTGGCTACTCACCATAGAAAATCTCCATCCTGCTTTTCAAAAGAACGCAGGAAGGAAAAGCCCCACTGAGCTAGGGATGTGCCAGGGCCGATGCGCTGCCAGCGTGCATCACAGTAGTTGTTCCCATGACACTCACAATGTTTGTGAGGCAGCGGGATAGGAGGGCAAATTTGCAGTGGGTGGAGAAATGGTTTAACGGGCAAGAAACAGATTCAGCCATTCGGGATGCTTTCCTGGGCTTTTGTTTATCTACCTCTGTGATAGTTCTCATTAACTGTCAATTTCATTTGCCAGGATAGAGATGGAGAAAAATGATTGCTCTTTTTTTTTTTCAAACACTGGGAGGCCAACAGTAGGAAGAAGCCCCCACAACAGTTTGGCTTTACCCCATTGCAGCTATCGGCTACACACCAGCTGCGCATTTTAACAATGACTTGCCAGAAAGACAATGATTGAAAGAGTCAATCTGTGACACATGGAGAGGCAGGAGCAAACTAGAGCGGGAGGTAATGGGAGACAAGTGAGGTCAGAAAAAACAAGTTAGTGCTGGGAACAAGAGGAAGGAAAGGGGCGAAAAGAAAGCACAAGATTACAGACAGAAAAAAAGGGGGATGGAAATTCCAAACAGACGTTCCTAAAGCAGCAGTTGGAGTCTCCTTCCCTGGCAGGATATCAGGCGATCGCCACCTGATACCCGTTCTTCACTAGGACAGACTCAGAAGCAAATACCGTACATCAGATCTAATGTGTGGATTCACAAAACTCCAAGATGAGGACCAGGGATGGGAAAAGGAAAAGAAGAGACTACTTAATGGGCCTAATTATTCTCTAAGGGACGGTGTCTTTGCATCTGGTTAAATAAGAAAGAACCATGAACTTCATGACCATGTCTAAAACATGGTTTTATTACCTATGCCCAAGTTCACAAAAATACATTAAAAAACAAAACAAGGGTACTATAGGCTATGTGGAGGGAAAGAGAAGACCAAAATTTTTTTCAACAAAAGCCTGAATGATTTTTAACAAAGCCCCTTCAGATATAACATATAAGTCTTATGATGAGCATCTATCCAAAACCGATGTTTGAACATCCCTGGGCTCAGCTTTGGGGACAGAGGAGGAGAAACAGGTAGCATCTGGATGTAAGCCATAGAGGATGACCACCAAGAGGTCCAGGGCAAGCATGCGGATAGAGGTGTGGCTCCTCTGTATGAATTAAAAAAGGGCGCCTCTTCCTACAGCAGAGTAGCCTGAATTTCACCCTCATTTACCTTACCCCTCTGGGCCATGTCGTTGTTCAGTGAGCAACCTGTTCGACTGTGCCTGGCCACTAATAAGATGGTACTGATCAATTAGTTGATGCTGTCTTCATACATGCAAAAGTGTGAGAAATAAGCCTGGATTTTAAAATTACCTCTATCGTTAAATTATTTATCAGACTGCCTGCCCATCACATCACACAACCATCAATTTGCCTATGATCTAAATGAAGCAAGGGTATAGATTCTTGTTTTCCCTTTGTGTTCTGGTCTCCCCTGGGCCTTCCCATACCCAATGCCCAAGAAAATCAATCACTAACCTACATCTTTTTTTTTTTTCCTTTCCTTTTTTAAGTTAGGAGAAACATGGATTCAACTTTGTGAAACCACATATTGTGCGTTCATGGATAGCTCAAAGGCAGTCCTACTGAGTGACTTCAATAAACACAGCAAGTCATCACCGGAAGCTTTACATGCGTGTCTTCTGCACTGTACTAGAACACCACTGGATTAAGAATCCGAAGACTCGCTGCCCAAACCAACTGTGCTGCTCTGGACAGTCATCAGGGGAGCAAGCCTAGATCTAGGTCCCAGGCAGTAGTAACCGTAATCACAAGAGCTAACATGCGCTGAGTGCTCACCCTGCGCCCGCTTTAGGTGCATTAGTACACTCAAACTTTACAGGAACCCTAAGACAGATGGTTATTACCTTTATAAATGCAGAAACTGAGGCACGGAGAGGCTTAGAGGCTTGTCCAAGGTTACACAGCGAGGAAGCGAGCACCAGTATGAGGTGGTGCGAGCAGAGGATTACAGAAGTCCATCCTGCTGAAACAGTATCGTGATTCCACGCAGGAGAAAAGACAACAGGTGCCGAAACCGCTGACCACATTTCTCAGGTCACTCCTCTCACAACAAGAACACGAAAGAAACGTTCCATTTGCCGTGCTGTCCTCCGTGGCGCTCAGCAAACACGGTTGCGGATCTACTTGAGGAGCGTTCCTCCCCGCAGATGGACCCCGCGCAGGGTCGGTCACCCCTTCCCCGGACCAGGCAGACAGAGAGGGGCCGCCTGGCGTGGAGGGAGAAGTAAAAATGGCAGCCCTGGGCAGTTCGCATTTCTGATCCGAGTTTAAAAACAAACTTGATGCTTTAAACAACATTTCCAAGGAAACTGAGAACTTTCTACTAAAAACTTCCTTTCCCAGGAAGCGGGCAGAGAATCCTATTCCGGCCCCCACCTGCAGGGACCCTAAGGCTCAGGCCTCCGTGGCGTCTGCCCGGAGCAGCCACGGCCTGCGCATGCGCACGACGGAACACAGCCGCGCACCCGGAAGCCAGTGCCCCCGCCGAGCCGCCTTCTCCAGGGGCTGCGCCCTCCTGTGTCGTAAGAGGGATCTTTTCTTGCCGGGTGTGTTCTATCCACATCAAAACCCAAAGGGTGAAACGGACGCTTCAGGATCCCCCGCGGAATGATAAACGTATATGCGCAATTCATCAGACTGTGAATTACCCATGTCAGGAATTTTAAAAGAAAAACTACAGTATCTTTACACCTCAGAAAAGTTTTCATTGAAGTTATTGAGAAAAGCGCTTTCGACCCTATTTAGAAAACAGTGCTTTCTTCCTCGACAAATACGGTAGCTTACATATGACTTTCCTATGTTTAGGTAGGCGATGCTTCAAAAACCATCTCATAACCAAACACTGCCTCAGGAATTCTGAAATATAGAGTATTCATAGCTTTAAAAATGTTAAAAGCAGATAAATCCAAGTTTTACTACAATCTCTGTAAGCACAAACATTATTGAAAGAAAGGTTAACATCGAAACGTGCTAAATTATGGCTGTTATCTAAAATATGGATGAATCTTAGAAACAGAATATTTAGTTAAAAAAGTAAATTCTAGGAGACCATTTACAGTACGAAGGGGGTAACCCCATTTCCTGTTGTGCCAAGAATCTTCCTAGTTTATACCTATTGTCCCATGATTATTAACAGCAACCCTTTCCCTGCCTCCAGACTGTCTCAGCTCCGTTGAAAAATGATACAGTCATTCTAAGCATGTTTCTATAAATACGCGTCTCTAAATCTCAAAACTAAATAAAACTAATGATACATACGCTATGAATTTTTATACTAAATTCTTGAAAACAAAACAAAACAAAACAAAACCCAAAAAGAATTAATAAAAATATTCAGAGAGTATTTGAGGCAGGGGAGAGGAAGAAGCCTAAAGGTAATGGAGGAACACATAGGTAGACACAATTAACACCAGTGATACTTCAATTCTTAAACTGGACGGGGCGGGGGCGCTTATGAGTATTCTTTGAAAGTTATGTCTCATGGTTAGCATGTTCTATATGTTTATATACATATATTTATATATAAAACATCCCATCATAAGCATTTTTTAAATATGAAAGAAATAAAATGGTAAGAAGGGATAAAACTACCATGTATGCTTTCAAGAGAACAGAGTAAACTATCGGCAAATTTATTAGCAATTTAATATTAGTTCTAATGGGTTAGAAAGAGGCATTTTCTGGCAGGCGCTTAGATCATGTTAGCAAAAGTTAGAAGGGAAAAAATTACATTCAGTTTGCTAATACAAGAAATGGGTGATGTTGACCTAAGAAAGCTGGACGCGACAGACAAACAGACAAGCCTATGTACACGATAAAGGAAACAGAAGATACAGAAGCAGTAAGACCACTGGAATACGAATGCCAAGAGTTAACTGGAACGTGAACTCCTGTCAAAATCAGAAGGTCCGTTTCTATCAGTAACAAGGACTCGAATGTGTGCAGGCCAAGTAAAACACAGTTGAGTATCAGCACGAAACACAGGCTACCAACGATCTGCCATGGCATAAATTGAACAGAACCGTACAAACTGGGGCCAATCCTTGCGCACAGTCTCGCCTCGGTGGCACTTACCAACAGAGCATCTTTGTGAACAGAATCATTACAAAACATGCTGAGAATAAATAATTTTCTAGTATGGGGTCAATGTCCAAACCAAAAATATCAAAGTAACTGGTGATTTTACTGAGTGTTTATATTCATTAGCTGAGTATCTTTAGGAACTGGAACTCTCAAATGCTTTGGTGACAATTCAGTTATGCTTCTACTCCACGGTCCCATCACCAGGTTTTTCAACAGTAAGAAAGCAGTGGCGTGCGTGTCGCTCTTGACGAACACCAGGTCTGTTTCTACCACACAGTAAAATAGTAATTACTGAGCAATGAATACCTGGAATACTAGCAGGAGAAATCGGGCCAGACCGGGACTGGTTGCTGCCCACGGGAGAGCCGACGGGAGAAGGCGATGGGCCCCCAGGGATGCTGGAGAGATGGGGGGATGCGTGTGGAGAGAAAGGTGACTGAGCCGGGTTGCTCTGATCCCCTTGGCTGCTCGTGGATCCAGACGCACTGACTGCTGAGCTCAGAGTTGCCTCCGTTCCCGTGGGGAGGTCATCGATGGAGCCAGACAGGTCCTGAGAAAGACAGAAATACCGTATATTTATGGAGTAACACACTCAGACGCGTACCTGACCAAAAACCTACTTAAAAGTCGTAACAGTGCCCCTTTCAGAGACAGTTTTTCTAGATAAAGCCCAAAATTCAGAGCATGGCCACTTGTTATTAAAGACTTTCAGGGGATCTCTTGTGAGTTGAACCCTAAAATCCGTTCTGGCCCCCAAAAGTAAAGTTGTACCTCTCTTTCATAAAGCCATCCGACAGCTTTCCTTTAAGCTGCCAGCACCTAGTCCAACACACCTGTTCAAAGAGTCACAGGAAACAGCACTTGAGGTGGTGACTTACCATCTGAATGGAATGGTGGCTTCAACACACTGAAAACCATTGTTCTGGATCCTTCTATTTAGAGTCAACATTGAAGGACTGTTTGAATCTCAAGCTATAATATTCTAATGGAACAGCATTTATTTATTTATTTATTTGAAAGAGTGCATGTAAGTGAGCAGGGGGAGGGGCAGAGGGAGAGGAAGAGAGAGGGAATCTTTAGCAGACTCTGCGCTGAGCATGGAGCCCAACCTGGGGCCTGATCTCACGACGCTGAGACAAAATCAGGAGTTGGACGCTCCACCGACTGAGCCACCCAAGCGCCCCCCAGAGCAGCAAAATTTTAACCAGACCTTGTGAGGAGAAATTCTTGCCTTCTAAATAACTGTAAGTGCCATTATAACAAAACAGTGATATGTATATTTTTATATGATATTGTGAAAATAAATCCCTTTGAGGTGAGGTTGGCAGAAATGAATCCTTATGTCATATCTTACTTCTTTATAACAATTTTAAGCAAAACAAACAATTTTTAGTGCCAACTAATTTATCCGTAATACCCTGTAAGGCAGTTATTAAAATCACCCTTTGACAGATACAGAAACTGCAACTCAGCTAGTCAGTTACTTTTGAAGCTTACCCCACTGAGGACAGAACCATCTGCTAAAGGGGACGAAGGGAGGCTGAGGGAGGAGAAAGGAGAAAATAGTCTTCTGTACCCTCGTCAGAATGAAAGGAGAGACTTTAGCTTGGCCTTCCTCACTACTGTGGCACCAGGGCCCAGAATGGGTCCCTGCCAGCGGGCGCTCGGTCAGCCAGGTCACTAAGACGCTCCCAGGTCACTAAGAGCCCGCAGATCCAGGCAGGGCCCGGAGCTAGTGCTGGCTGGGCTCGAAAGGCTGAGTTGCAGTATAAAATTATTTGTCTTGATGATCTAGGACTAAATGCTGCAGAATGGGATCAGAAATGCTGGGTGATGTTACTGTCTACCAAGCATATTCAGTTCTAATTTATACCCTCGACTCATTCAACTTTATTAATGTTTAATTTTACCTCACTGCTTACTACTGGGACTTCTAAAAACTAGGGCTTGGAAAACTGGTGGAGGTAGATGCTTAGGATCTAAAGAACAAATCTAGACCAGCAAATACAAAAGGGAGCAGGTAGAGCACAGCTGGTTACAACACTTCAGGGCCCCCCCAAATGTCACAAAGCAAACTCAGGATGAGGATCCCAGTCTCCTGGAAAGTATATCTGTTAACCATCTGCCATATCATATAATTAACTTTTTTTTTAACAGCAAAATTGCCAGTGATTAAAAAAATACGTTCTAAATAGCTATGTAAACCTCACAAAAATGAATGCCACAGAAAAACAAAAATTTCTTATGCTAAGAAGAGTGACATCTAAGTAGAGAGTACTCTTAAATGTCATATAACTGTCCTTATGAATAACGAACATAACAGTAACAGCGTAGACTGAACCCATCACCACTAGAGAAAGTATCATTAGATTTCCAAAATGAAATATGGGCAAACGGAATCCTATTTTCCTAATTCAGAGAAAAAATATATAGAGACATTTCTACACAGGGCACACAAGTTGTGTGATTTTGCACATATTCCGCTGGTAAAACACTGTATTTGATTTGATTACTGGGTTCAACAATAGTTCGATTCAGACTTGGAACCGGACACAGCTTTTGCGAAGGAGGGTCAGAAACAGAGGGAGGTTATTAAGCAAGTGACATGCTATGTACAGCGTAGAAAATACTCACACTTCAGAAATCAAGGCAATTATCTGAGTTTCTAGAAACAACACTGAAGCTAGCAGAGTGTACACGTGCACACATACTGACTTGCTGAAAGAGAAAACAGGGCAAGTTCCAGCAGTCCCGCCCTCCCTCCCCAGGCAGACGGCTGACTGCTTGCGTGCAAGGCCTCAGGGCCAGGATGGGTGCAGGGGTGTGGAAGAGTGGCTGGGGTCCTGCGTAATTCTTTAAGCCCCTGGTCCCGAGGCATTCCTTTCCTAACCTGATGTAACCAATTCATAGAAGTGCGGAGGGACCTCTGGCCGGGGGCTCAAACTGGGCCTTGCCTATTTTTGCTCTGCCCACCAGCAGAAGAATGACAGAAGAAAATGACCAAAGAAAAAAGTCAAGGGTAATTTCAGTGTCTGTAACATTTTACTGGAACACTGTCCCCGCCATTCCTTTAATGTATAGCCCATGGCTGTTTGGGGGGTACAACAGAGACTCTGACAGAGATCTGGGGCCCACAAAGCTTAATATTTGGGGCCCTTTTGGAAAAAGTGTGCCAACCCGATTCAGGGAGCTGCAGTATTTGTGGTATGGCCTCTCCTGCCTTCGCCTGTTCCTTGGGGTGAAGAAGAGAGACAGGCCTCCGTTGAACTGTGTGGTGACACGGTACCTAGAAGGAACTGCAGAAGCTTCCCCAAGAGCAGGGACTGACCGCATGTCTGCATCCACCGGGAAAACAGTGAGTGGGAGCCAGAGAGAACTGCGTCCTCTTTGAAGAGCCCTGAATAACCCAGAGAGCCCCCAGCGAGGCTGGCTGGTGGGCCCCAGGTGCAGGCGCACTCTCTGAATACCTAACGGATGTGCGTCACTAATAAACAAAAGGTCAATCAGACAAGAATCAGTCGGGGGGGGGGGGGGGATAGGATTTGATGCTTCTTTAGAGAAAAAGAAATTGGTAGATAACTAGATATGAAACCATTATCTTTTATTATAGTACATATGGGATTAAGCAGAAAAGACATAGATTCGATTTTTAACACATCATTATTTGAAGTTAAATAATCTTATGCAAATCTTTCTTCATTAAAAAAAAATTACTCAGAAATTTGTAAAATTCTCCGCACGACCTATAAATTCCTTCCCTGTCCTCCCTTAAAATTCCAAGTTATGGTTGAACAAGTGACACGCATGGGTGTTAAGAAGCCTTCATTCAAGCTGCAAAAGCATGAAAAACATTTCTGTTATTCAACAAGCCGATTGAGGAAGTACCAAGAGAAAAATATAAAAACGGTGGCTTTCTTAGTGTTCACATGTCATCAGAATTTCAGCGCTGACTAGACCTCAGTGTAACAGAAGAGTAATAAAAAGATATAATTTCTATATTACTATTACACATACACGTAACTTTTATATGTAAATTATAGAGAAATATTCCCGCCCTGCAGACACTTGGGGTATCCATATGTACAGCTATCTTAAAACATGTTAATAAAAGAAGTTCAACAGTGGTTTAAACACTCAGCCTAGTTAACAAAGAAGCTCTGTAACTAATACTCCTCTAGAGGACAATTTAGTCAGCAGGGCACCAACTCTATTCTTCTTTTATAAGTACTATCAGATCTATGATGCCTGGAAAGAACAGAGAGACCTTACTGCATCTCATTCTAACCAAGGCACCTTCAAGCTACAGTGCTTCCATTTATCTTGCTGGAAAGCTGGCAGGTAAGGTAATTGCAGGGAGGACTCTTTTAAGGGGCTGGAGTCCCCCTGCCCCACGGCATTCCTGGCATCTTTCCTTTGTGTTGATGGAGTGACTGGGGAGGCAATGACTTCACGGGCTCATACACAGTAAATTCAGAATTTTGCTAGGACAGTCCAAGTTGGTAAAATCTTGCTCTTAGGTTGGGTTTTTGGTATCTGATAGCACTCGGGATATTTAATATTTTCTAGCACACCAAAAATAATATAACTTCTACTGTCGATGCTTAATTTGTTTTTGGAAAAATCAATGCCTTACAAAAGAAAAGCTTGTTTTCCTTTAAAATTTGATTTAAATGAAAGTTCCCCGCCAAGACCTTCCCTCCATAAACCATCCTCTCTCCCCCTTCTGCCCATGTAAAATTTTCATTCTAAGCCAAGTGACAAGTACAAGAGATTTCACTGCACTTGGAATGAAATGCCACCGGGGAGCAATAACAATCCTATCAAGACTCTGACAAGAGAAACACTTATGAATTAACATAGACCACAAATACGTTCCTGATTCCATACAGTGGGACAGGGAGGGGAAGGGCAGGGACAGAGGGAAGGGGGAAGGATATGGGAACATGCTGGGAAGGAGGAGCCCAGGAAGAATTTTTAGAGACCTACCTATATGCAGAACAGACATATGACATTATAAATATTCTCTCTCATGTCTACATATTATCCATGATCCTCTCTAGAAATACCATTGGCATGTTCTGACTTACTACATCGAGAGGCGTCTTTGGTTTGGGTGGAATTCAGTTTATCTAGGAAGTTAGCTTCCTCAAGGATAAGTTCCATCCATCCTGGTGATGCCTTACTGTCAAAGACCTGGGAATAAGTCAGAAAATCTTACTCCCTTGTTTAATTAAACAAGTGGGTTTTTACAAAAGCAAATCAACTCCGAAATACTCTAAGCTGTGGTCCTCAGTACAATTAGCAGGTGGCATCGGCTCCATCTCTGACGGAGCACGGCAGAGCGGCACACACATTCGGGCATCTCCCGCTCAGAAGTGCCCCAGGAGAGCAAGAGGATAAACACTGAATTAGAAACAGAGAAGATATTTCAATCAATGAGACCAGTTCAGGTCTCTTGTTTAAGGATTTTAATAGGATACAGTTAATGATTTCTCAGTGTGACTTCCCATGGGTTTGATGCACAGGTTCAAATGCCAGTTCAATGGTCTT